GGGGGGTTATGTTGTATCTCGAAGTCTCTGTGTAATTGGCAGCTCACTGTATGCAAATGCTGTGCCCTAATTAAGCAGTAAAGGAAGACAGGGTGAGTCCGACGAAGTCTGCTGACTAATTAGCGCCCACCCGTGACTTCTTAGTTATGCTCAAATGACACAATGGCATGGCATGGCGCTACAATCACCCCACCCCGAAGCCACCTTCACCTACACACCCACAAGGCCTGAAAACGCGCGCAAATTACACCGCCTTCTCACTCCAAACACATCCGCTCCATCACAGCTCGACACGCCGTGGGATGTTTATTGTAAACTGCTAATTGCTTGATTCATTCCATTACTCCTCCGTCTCCAAGTGGCCTTTATTTACTGCAGCGGCACACGTTACGGTAAGCCTCGACCTGACAGCGATGCGCTGAAAAGAAGCAAGGTCAGGGACACATTTGGCCTCAGCGTAGGTTCATCGGCAGTAAAACGCTGTTAAGTAACGCAGGATACTTTGTAAAGCAAAACAAGCTCATCATTGGCTCAGTTTCCTGGCGAAAGGTCACAACGCAGCAGGCCCGCGGCCGACGAGGTGACGCTTGTTGAACAGGGCTACCGAGACACAGGATGCGCAAGAGTGACAATGAGCCGGTGTTAACGTGTCCGTCTTCACGCTGACACGCTTTTATCATGCATCCTGTATGTTCCCATAATATCAGGGAAAGTGTCTAGAGCAGCTTTTCTTCAACTTTTGACATCAACTACCGCCTCAAACCAATTCTGAGCTCGCCAACTATCACCGTCAAGGCCATCATAAAACATGCACAGTTTGAACATTAAAACTATAGTTAAATAGATGAAAACTGGGTGAGGGGGGGTGATGATTCCATTAAATGTATTTTACATAAGTTAAATACAAATTATTACACCCCCCCCCCAAAAAAAGGAAATCAGGGATAATGTGTGTGTGTGTGTGTGTGTGTGTGTGTGTGTGTGTGTGTGTGTGTGTGTGCGCGCGCGCGTGTGCATGCGTGTGTGCGCGCTCCCGGCCCGGCAGTCAACTGGTTAGCGAATCGGCCTCACCGTGAGGAGGTGCATGGTTCAATTCCGCCTCCGGCCTTCCTTTGTGGACTTTGCATGTTCTCCCCGGGACTGTGTGGCTTTTCTCTGGGTACACTAGTTTCCTCCCACATTCCAAATAGGTTAATGGAACACACCAAATTGTCTCTCGGTGTGATTGTCGCAAATAGTTGTCTATGTGTGCGCTGTGATTAGCTGGCTTATATATATACTGTATGTATATGTATATTGGTGTGTGTGTGTGTGTGTGTGTGTGTGTGTGTGTGTGTGTGTGTGTGTGTGTGTGTGTGTGTGTGTGTTTTAATTATTGTTATTATTATCCTTAAGTTTATTATTCTATTTCCAAAATGATAGTGCTGATTATTATGATTGTTGTTAATGTTTTACAAAGTACCACCCACTGACTGCTGAGTCGGTGCTTCTCTTATTTTCCCCTCATTTAACGATAATTCATCGCATATATTTCATAATGTGAGCGAATCCATCTCATCGACCTCCTCAATAGGAGGTGACAAATCCAGTGACGGCCGGAAGGAAGGAAGGAAGGAAGGAAGGAAGGAAGGAAGGAAGGAAGGAAGGAAGGAAGGAGTGAAGGAGGGAAGGCTGGTCAATGAAAGAGCATCTGTCTGCGTCCAATCTAATGCGAGACGTTAAACAATAAGTGCACTTCCGTTTTCTCACAACACAAAAGTGTAAAAGTAGCTTCACCACACCATAGCACATTTTTTAAATCTATATTTTTACTTTTGTGCTCGGACATGACTTGTCTCCGAGTCATCTATTTTTAAATCAGCGGGCATGTTTCCATAGCGATTACAGGGATGTTGCTAAGCAACAGCATCACGGAAGACGTGAATGAAAGTCGACGATCAGTGGGCACTTTGCTCAGAGTGAATGGACACGCCACTTGTTTTTTTTTTTTGTTTTTTTTTTTTAATGTGTATACTTTGACTGCTATTGTGTGCACCAAGTTTTCCACAAGGCGATGTCACAGCCAGGAAGCAATCCGTTTCTTTCCGTTCCACTTGTTACTCTATCGCAGATGAAAGTTTTCAGAGCAACCGTATCTCCCAATCATACATTCTACATATCGTACGCACAATCTGTTGTCTTCCCTTCATCTTAAATAGAATCAAATATAATCAAAAAGCCAAAGAAAAAAAAACATACTGAGCTTCTCACTACTACAAAAAAAACTATACGACTATGCTGTGAGTCTTTTGACAAGAAATGTCTAACATCTTCCACATGTTCAAGTGCAAAGCTTTTGAGGGGTGAGTCTATCAAACAAGTCAATTTCAGGTGTCATCTGGCATTTTGGCCGTAAAAACATTTTTTTTCAGGACGTTTGGAAAAAGCAGCATCTAATAATGCTAAACAGTTCAGTAATATAAGACGAATTATTCTAGTGTGTTGTGCGTCTTTGGATAAGAAATCTGCAGGACCTAGATGGCATTGTTGGTCAGCTTTTTTTAGGGGGAGTGTATAAAACAGCTCAATTCCAGGTGTAATCTGGTGTTTTCCCCATAAAAGCCTATTTTTAAGGGCATCTGGATAGATTTTAGGCCAGACGATTGAATGCATTGTGTTGTGTGTCTTTTAAGACCTACACACAAGCAGTTGTGTGGAGCCTTTCAGGGGCGAGAGGATAAAACTTTTCTCCCCCTAAAATCCATCTGACTTCAATCGCATCCTGGTAAAATTTCCACCGAAAGTCGCATATATGAAAGCTAAACTGCTCATTGCCACCAGACGAACTATTTGAATGTGTCCTCATTTTTTTCATAAGAAACTGATGACACCTAAAAAAGCAGTGGTGGGAAGCCATTGAGGGGTGATTGTATAAAAATTGCAGTTGCAGTCTGGCATTTTGTAGTCTGGCAGCAAAACAGCGTTTTTTTTTTCTACTCCTATCTATCATGCTTTTTCTCATTAGGATGCCAGCTGACAACATAACTCACAACTACGGACAATTCAGAGTCTCCTATGAATCCAACAAAGATAAGAAAGATAAGAAAACCTTTATTTGTCCCACAATGCAGAAATTTGCAATCTACAGCAGCAAAATTGAAAGGGGGGGGGGGTAATGTTTAAGAAAAATGAACTGTACACAGTACAGAATGCAATATAAAATATAAATATAGATACAAGCATATATGCAACTGCAACATGCATGCATTTGCAATGAGGGAGGAAACCAACCAGAGTGCCAGAGAAAACCAAAGCAAGCGCAAGGAGAACGTGCAATCGCCACTCAGGAAATACGGAACCCGTATTCGAACCTTCAACCTCAGAACACTGAGCCCGCATATGCCAACCGTCATCATATCACCTCTCAATAATCTGACAACCAGCTCTAAAATGCGCCCATGAAGGTCTAAAAAGAGTCCCTTCTTGTTTCCAAGCTAAGAGAGTCAAGTGACCAGGGTGCAAAAGCTGTGTCGAGGAGGGGTCGCACCCCACTGACGAGCCACTGAACCCTTGAAGGGGAAACAACGTCTATAAGAGAAAGTAGCTGACATAAAAATGGCAAACAGGCTTTTTGACGTTCAAAGCGCTCTCACGATGCCTCCTCGTTATCGGGAGCAACCGGCGGTTGAGCATCTTGCTCAAAAACACTCCGGCAGGGTCACAAGGGCTTAAGCTCGAACCCAGAACCTTTTGGTTTGAAGATGCCCACTTTTACCACTTGAGCATCCCCCCCACCAAAAGCGCAACGAACACATTTTGCGTGCGTAAAAAGTGAGTCGGAGGACCCCAAGTGTCACGCGGTTCCATCCGGACTCACCCTCAATGCAGCAGATCCTCCAGAGTCCCGAGTGCGTGAGGTCCCCCTTCCTGCTCCTGGGCGGCGGCTGGGACTCGTCGGCGGTGGCGTTGGTTGCGTTGCAGATGTACGCCCGCGAGTAGAGCCAGTAGTCCGTGCCGATGGCGATGCTCATGAGGCTGAAGGCGGCGAAAGCCCCCACGGTGGCCAGCAGCGTCTGAACCCCGCGCTCACACCAAGCCATGCTTCCGCATGCTACACGCGAAAAACACCCGACGGTATGTTCGGTAGACGACACAGTCCGGACGCCGACACCGGGGCGCGCGCGCGCGCACTGAACGCGTCAATGCGCGGGGGCCATGCGCCTACTTGTTGAGGAGCGCGCTCACTTTTTTTTTTTTCAACAATAGTAGCCGAAGCTCACGAAAGCAACGCAGAAATGCTCCCAAAATAGGCTGCCACGAAGCATTCATGAGTCAAGACAGTCCTACTAAAAATCTGGCAGTCCCCCCCACCCCCCTCACTTTCCCCATCTCATTTGTCGAAAAGAATCCTCTCGGAGTTGAGCGCGTCAATATCTTTTAAAGGAGACACCACCCTCATCGAAATGCAACCAATGGAGGCTAGCTACTTGATAAGCTTGTCATCCGCAGAAGTATTGTCTTTAAAGAAAATACTCTGGTAGGACTGAAAAAAAAAACCAACAGACTGGAATGCACCCAAAAGTAAAAATTAATGTTTACTGTCAGTGAATACTTGCTATGATAATTTGGAGGTGGCACGGCTCAGAAGAGTGGTTGTCTCCCCATTCAGAGGTTGGGGGTTCAATTCCCTAGCCATTGTGACCTTGTTGAAGTGTCTTTGAGCAAAATACCGAACCCCCAGCTGCTCCTGATGCTGCGTCATGAGTCGGTAAATGAGGAAACGGTGCAAAGCGCTTTGAGTACCAAAGGTGGAAAAGCACAATTTGAATGACAGCCGGGCGGCTCGGTGGGCGACTGGTTAGCGCGTCTGCCTCACAGTGTGGAGGCGCAGGGTTCGATTCTGGCTCTGGCCTCCCTGTGTGGACTTTGCATGTTCTCCCCATGCCTGTGTGGGTTTTCTCCGGGCACTCCAGTTTCCTCCCACAAAAACATACGTGGCAGGTTAATGGAACACTCCAAATCGTCGCGAGGTGTGAATGTGAGCGCGGATGGTTGTTCGTCTCTGTGTGCTCTGCGATTGGTTGCCAACCAGTTCAGGGTGTCCCCTGCCTACTGCCCAAAGACAGCTGGGATAGGCTCCAGCACCCCCCGCGACCCTTGTGAGGATAAGCAGTGTTAGTGTTCAAATATAAAAGTGGCTGAAAATAATAGTAATTTTTTTTTTGAGGAATGAAAACATCTTTTGACTAACAGTCCTACTTAACTACAATGTTTTACTGTTAATCATGGAACTGGGGAGCTAATTATTTGTAAAATGTTAGAACCACTGTACATAATTGACCTATTCACTTTTTTGTGATATTTTTTGGATGGTGTGTGAGATTTTTCTCATGAAAAATATAACTTGGCTCAATAAAGGTTGGGAAACAGAATTAAAGTAAACCTCTTAACGTTTAATAGTATAGTTGCTATACTTGTTTCTCACTTACTCTCATAATATCAATGAAAAATATACATGTGCTTTTTTAAAATTGTTGTTTCTTCCAAAGACTCAACAATGACTTGGAAACCGAAATCAAAACATTAATGTTGTAGTACTTCATATTTTCCAAGGGGCGGCGCTAGCTTGCCGTTGTGGTGGTGGAAAAGGGGAAGTTAGATCGCATGCGCATTGCCGACTTGGTGGTTCGAGTCACGTGACTACCTCCTCTGCGCATGCGCATCACCGCTGCAAGACGCCATTGGTGGACCGCATTTTGTTGTCCACTCCTGCCTGCTTCCGTCTAAACAAAGACCTGCCCCCTTTTTTTCCTCCATGAGGATTTCTCCGCCGCCCGTCGTTACTTTTACGTGTAATCACGATTACTAAATCGGATTACGACACATTTATTGCTTTTTAAGTGCTTTTGGCGCTCACACGCGGCTTCCCAAATGGACACGGAGTTCAATGAAGGCTGTGGCGAGACCAAATCGGCCATCCATTCTTGGCGTTATCGCCACCATTTCACGTACAAGGCAGATCAAGGAAAAAATATCATCGTGCAATGTAATCTGTGTCTGCCGAGGGTAAACCTGCTGTCCACGTCCAAGACGTCCACGTCCAACCTAAAGAAGCATTTGGACGTAAGTTGCGAGTCCGTCATGAACTTTTGAACCGTCGCTTTTAGTCGTCGCCAGGTTGATGTTCGAAAACAAAACACTGTTCATTGAATCATCACGACGGTGTTGTTGCTTGCTAACTACCGGCCGTGGGCGGTCAGGATCAACAAGGCCTCCTACTCGACTGGCCTGAACACTGGCACCAACCTCACCTATATTTACAGTCTCTTTCTAATATTTACAGCCATCCACTCACTTTCAACACCGATTATCCTGAACTGGGTTGTGAGCAGCTGATTTCGGACGGAAGGCACATTACACCATGAACTGGTCGCCAGTCAGTCGCAGGGCACATGTAGAGACAAACGACCATTCACACCCACATCCACACCGTCACTGAATGGGAACCAATCCCACGGTGCCTGCACAAAAGTCCGGCGAGTGTACCACTACACCAGCAGTGACTCTTTCTCATATTTGTTCCATTTAATTATGTGAATGAATATCGTAGCCCATCTCTTGGCTCAGCGCTTCTTCTACATGAGTGTTCATGTCGGATTTATCCAATCAAGCTGCAGCCTCGAAGTGTTGGCATGTAATTGTTAATATTACCTTGGCCTTCACAGTCAGTAGCGCTGGCCATCATACTTTCAAATAAATTGTTTCTGTAATCAATCACATGATGAAGTCAGCATTTGCCATCATCTGATTGGTTGAGCAAACTCGGTCCAGCCAATTAACGCTGGTTGATTATGGACACTATTTTACATCGCAATGTCTGTTAATTTAGATCCTGATAATGACACACATCAGCGATTAAGTATTTGTCCTTAAAATTGCATGAAATGAATGACAGTTTAATCTTTACTCCTTTTTCTGCCATAAAACACTTGAAAAAGGAAAGCCTTCCTCGTGTGAATTATAGAGTCCATGACTCAGGAGCAGACAAAACAACCCAGGGAATTTAGGCACATTACAAAGCGGAGGAAAAGCTTAACAGGATGTCCTTAGTAGCAAAGAGGGTCATCTAAAATAATCATACCAACGACGTAGGTTTATACCATACGATAGTCAAACAACATCTGCAGTCCCCCGCCCACCCCAAAAAATATTTTGTGAAGGCCAAACTGCAAACACACGAAGGTGGACTTTTTTTTTTTTTTTTTTTGCATCGTATGGTAAGGCACGCCCTCAAGCTTCCAAACATGATGTCTTTCAGAGAACACATCTAGGATGCGATGCCAGGCCCGATGCGAAGCGAGGGAGGAAGAAGGAGGAGTACAACGGCGAGGAAAGTAGCCACTGTCAACTCAAAAAGATCAAAGCGGAGATCCTCTCCAAATGCATGACCCAAGAGAAGATCGACGAGCTCATCTTCAACTACATCGTGGAGGACTGTCAGCCGTTTCATGTGCTGGAGCAGCCCGGCTTCAAGAAGCTGATCACGGGTTTAACCGAGGGTCTCCATCCCATGGACAGGGTAACCTTATTCTCCAAGGTGGACCTCAGTTTCTCGAGGATGCGCGACGAGCTGATGGCCAAGCTGGCCGCCGTCCAGTACGTGTGCACCACGGCCGACTTGTGGACCGTCGGCGGCGGCAGCTTCTTCGGCATGACGTGCCACTGGATCGACAGCAACTCGCTGGAGCGTAAGTCGGCGGCTCTGGGCTTCGCCAGGATGCAGGGCCGGCTCACGTACGACTCGGTGGCTGGGAGGATACACGACATCCACGTGGCGTACGGTATCGAAAGCAAAGTCCAGACCACCGTCACCGACAACGCCAGCCCATTTGTCAACGTGTTCAAAGAGTTTGCGCTGGACGGCACGGATTGCAACGACGACGTCGGGGTTTTTGAAAACGTCTGCGCCGTGCTGGAGGGCGAGCCGGAGCAGGACATGCTCCTGTTCCTGCCCACCATCCAGCGGTGCGCCTCGCACACTTTAGAGCAGATCGTCACGGAGGACTTCTGGCGGGCTGTGTCACAGGGACCCATGTGCCAGCTTTATTACAGCACGATGTCCAAGGTCTACTCCATTTGGACCAAATGCCACCACCTCCAGGTCGGCATGGAAGCGGCGGAGGAGATCCGGAAGATGGCCTTGTTTGTCCCGGCCGTCATCCGCTGGAACGTGGAGTACTGCGCCCTGCAGAAGATCATCTCTCTCACAGAACGGGAGCTGACTGAGCTCTCGGCCCGCCTGGATGTGGCGCGCCTGCAGCCCGAGGAGATGGACTTCCTCAAAGAGTACGTCACCGTGTTCCACCCGCTGGCTTTCGCGCTGGAGCTTCTCCAAGCCGAGCAGAAATGCTACCTGGGCCTGGTCATCCCCACCGTGCTCAGCCTGAAGAACAAGCTGAACGAGCACAAGGATTCGGCCAAGTACTTCGGCGACGTCATCGTCGCCATGGTGAGCGCCATCGACACGCGCTTCCGCGAGTTGTTCGCCAGCGACGAGGCCAAGTTTGCCACGGCCACCACCCCGCAGTTCCGCCTGTGGTGGCTGGCCGCCTCCGAGCGGGAGGAGATGTGCTCCCTGCTGGCCACCGAGGCCTCCCAGGTGGACCCCTGCGACGTGATCGAGATCAACACCAGCCAAAACGTCTCCACCATCAAATCCGAAGACGACTTTTTCAGTTACGGCTCGGCCAAGCTGACGGCTCACGTGCAGGAGCGCGGAGTCACCGAGGAGATCCGCAAGTACGTGGAAGGAACCGGCAAGAGCCTCGAGTGCTTGCAGGACTTCCCCAGGGTGAAGCAGTTGTTCCTCAAGTACAACACCACCTTGCCGTCCACGGCGCCCATCCAGAGGCTTTTCAGCGAGAAGGGCAACTTGGCCACCTCGCAACGAAACTTTCTGACGGACGACTACTTTGAACGCATTCAACTGCTGAGATACAACGTCAACGTGTGCGCCGTGCTCAACAGCTGAGCGCGTTTGACCGCTTTCAAAAGAACCCGACGTACAGTACGTCCTCAAGTAGTGGCCGTTTGTTCACTCAAATAAAATGAGGTTGGGAGGGAGGCCTTCATCAGTTCCAACGCATTTTTGGAATATTTTAACTCACGATTATTTCAATGATTGATTATACTGTGTAATGTTTTTGGAGGGGGGGGGGGATAATTAATGACTCCAAAAAAAAAAACGATTTTTAATTTCCAGCTCTTTGTTCAAAAACAGGCGGCGAGGTGGTCCAGTGGTTGGCACGTCAACCTCACAGTGCACAGGTCATGGGTTCAATTCCAGCTGCGGCCTCCCCTGTGTGGAGTTTGGATGTTCTCCGCGGGCCTGCGTGGGTTTTCTCCGGGTACTCCGGTTGCCTCCCACATTCCAAAAACATGCATGGCAGGCTGATTGAACGCTCAAAATTCTCCCTAGGTGTGAGTGTGAGCGCGGATGGTTGTTCATCTCTGTGTGTCTTGCGATTGGCTGGCAACCGGTTCAGGGTGTCCTCCGCCTACTGCCTGAAGACGGCTGGGAGAGGCTCCAGCACCCCCCGTGACCCTTGTGAGGATTAAGCGGATTGGAAAATGAATGAATGTTCCAAAACAGGATATCACAATATTTCAAATTGCCAGTGTCGAAAATACACATGGACAAATTGATGATCACTCAATTACGGGTTGAGTTGGTAACACCTTAGGCGAAAATATTGATTGTTTTTTATCAAAATAAATGTCATTTCGATGAAATACAATGATAATCGGCCTGCTTTCATTGGGGACTACAGACATCGGAGAACTTTTATTGTTGAGAGGCGGCAATTGTGTGGATTTCGACAATTCTGAGTTACAACAAGATCACTATAAATAATTATTGATCACACTGAGTAATTCCATCTAATCTGATCAACAGATTTCATTAAAATTCCCTCATTTTTTTACCATAAAGCGCAACGACATCATGGAGTGATGACGTCGAGCCTTGAAGTTGTCGTATGCACGTCTGGAAAACGGCATATGGGCAAGGCGCGGGAAGAGAGGCGACCGCTATCTTGAGGAAAGTTTGGTAATCCCGAATAAATGTCAAATCTGATTCATGCCGTTTCTAATCATCCTTTCATTCCTAAGGAAATATTTGTTGGTAGTAATTGACAATCAACCGGATGATGAAAACAAACTATGATTAGAATTTCCATCGTTGCAATATGGTAATTTTCTTGCTCGTTTCGATTTTTTTTTTTTTTCTACGGCTGTTGAATGTCATGTGTATGTTTTATAAAAATACTGTATGAGATGAAAAAGCAATTTTGTGTACTTTCTTTGCCCATTGGACCCTTGACTTGAGAACTAAGACATGCATGAGCTGAGTACATCAGCAGATACCGAGTCACATTTTTCATGCTTTCTGTGAGGAAAACAAACGGCGGTATTCCCGTACGCTTCGCTCCCAAGTGCTTTTGTGTTCTGCGCTAAAACATCAGGAAAACTAAAGTCTGGTCCATGTGCCACTTCCTTGATTGATCCAAAGTGAGTGTTTTATTAACTCAGGACAAAGTACGACTTTTGAATAGAGATAAACTGACATGTTTTTTTTCTTCAGGGCCAATGCGGATATCGATTATTAGTAAAGAAGGAGGCCAATAACCAATATTTGGAGCCGATATTCATTTGCAGTAAAAAGGAAAATATTTGTCAAAATGTTTAAGAATACAAACCCCCCAACACTTTTGTTTAAATGCCTTCAGGTAGATTTATTAAACAGATCTTCATGTTTGCAACAGTTGGTATTAATTTGGTAGGCACAAAGTGGGTAAAAGGTATTCACACGTCCCTGTCGTCACAGTCCTCATGTGCCTCCTCTCCCTTTTTCAAATCTCTTCAAACGCAGCATGCCAGAAAGAGACCAGCGTGTGCCTCAGTGTCGAGAGTGACATTATTCAAGAGGTAAGCATGAGAAGGTGTTCCTAACATGGTTCGTTTTTCTCTCACTTTGCCCTCTTCGCCAGAGGTCAGGGTCACTGTAGGAGTACCTTGGCGGGGCCGAAGTGGCCCAGGTTCTCGCAGGACTCGAGCCAGCGTTGGACGTTGGCGGGCGCCGGGGAGGCGGACCCGGCGAGCAGTAGGCAGCAGTAGCACGCCACGTCGGCCAGGGAGACGTCGCGCCCGGCCAGCCAGGGCCCGCGGCCCAGGGTCAAGTTGAGGGCGCGCATCACGGCGGCCCGCTCCTTGGCGCCGCCCTCGGCCAGCTGGTGGAAGGCCGTGTCCACCCAGCTGTCCACCAGGGTGGCCGCCGCCGCGTCGGACGGGTACGGCGCCAGCAGCTTGAAGAGGAAGCGCGCCACGCTGGCTTCGCCTTCCACGGGGCACATGTTCTGAACGCTGAACTTCATCTGCAGTTTGGGGACTGCAGAGGCAAAAGGCATCGGGTGGTTACACACCGTAAACAAAGTTTGTTTTCATCATAGGCCACGTGGTAGTCACAGTCAGGTCCATCAATACCGAGTGAGGCATTAACACAATTCTCATCTTTCTGGCTCTTCCAAATGAAACAAAACGAGATGTGCCTTAATTCCAGACTCTTAGTTTTCATTTCAGGATATTTCCATCCAAATCAGACGAACGGTGAATCCAACGTGCCTCCCACTTGTTTGAAGAGACCAAAAAGGTGAGAATTGTGTCCACGTTCAAACATTTATGGACCGGACCGTATGTTTGGCTCAAAGGAGTTGAGACGTTTGACACGCTACTTCTGGAATGGTGCCTTACCATCTTTCCATATGAGGGTGAAGCCTAACTGGAAGAGATGCCGGGCGTAGCTGTCCGGATGGCGCGGGCCGAGGCAAGATAAGAGCTGAGGCGGCACGCTGCTGACTGAAGAGTGGACATGGACGGTGGAGAGCACCCGGTAGCGCTGGCACAGCATCTTGTGAAGAACCAGGAGGGTGAGCGGGGGCCGCGCCGGGTTAGCATTGATGACGATGTCGCGTAGGGCACCGAGGTCCTTGGGACAGAGGAGGACATGTTCATACACATTTATCGGAGGTAAAAATAAACAATGGAGATAATGTGGTTGCCTACTAGAACAGCTGAACTTGATCCAGGATTAATAAGAGGCGCTTTAAATGGTTGATAGGTGTGCGCCTCGTCGCCATAGCGACAAGGCGCTGGAACTAATTCCAATTTGTATCCTACCTTCCCCAGTAGCGTGTCGAGGTCGGCCTCGCCCCGGAAGGAGCTGGAGCTTTGGGACGAGAGGCTGCCTCTGACTGTCAGGTCCATGTCGGCGTCAGGCGTGGTCACCGTCTTGGCCAGGCCCTCCACGGCCGCCTTCAGCTCGTACAGTTTACGCATGATCTCGTCCTGACGGGCCTCCAGGGCTCTGACGGACGGGTCCACTTCGCCATTCTGCAGACAGGAAATAATTCCGGTAAGATCAATTTGGGAGAGATGGGGGACAGGAAGTATGTTTTTTTTTTTTGGAATGTGGGAGGCAGTTGAAGCACACTGAGAAAACCAAATCAAGCATGACGAGAACATGCAAAGTCCACACAATCAGAACAAGAATCAAGCAAAGGCTCCACGGGCCATGCACTCCATCTTTTGACGTCCATCAAGTAGTTCAACCGAGAATAGACAGGCTTCTGGTAGTTAATGTTAGCATAGCGAGCATTTAAAGATAAAAGGGCCGGCGAATCTCAGAAACTGTGAGGCAGATGTACGAACCACTCATTCACCGTCCAGCTAAACAATACAAATAATAAACGGTGTTTTTCCTGTGTTCAAAATTGTGTGGTGGCCGCCTCGAGCTAATTTTGTGCTGCCCCAGCCACGGCTAACTGTGCTGATTGAGCATCGATGTCCCTTTCCGGCAGCCATTTATTTTAACTCCACTTGCAGCATTGCGCCACTGTGGAGGCGCTATATCAACAGCAGTACACAAAAAGACCTAAAGCAACTTCCGAAGAGTAAACATATCAAATTGTGTTTTGTTTGTTTTGTTTTTTCACACTAGTCGGTGCTATCGGCATCCTGAGTTTCCCTGCCAGATGGAACAAACAGGTAAATATTGGTGGGGGGGTTAGGTCATTCAAGCATGACGTGTTTATCCAAATTTATTTCCCTTCGTGTCAACCACCTCTGCCTCAATTTGAGCCAGGAAAAAAAACTGATGAATCTAA